TGTTTTCAAAACTATCTGTTTACCAATTAGTAATCTGTATCAATTCAAATTCATAAATTGTATAAATTGCATTGTAAAGTAGTATGGAGTAATTATTATCAAGACAGTATATTAAAAAAAATGAGTTGATCCCTCAGTACAATAATCACCTGACATTATTATTAATAATCTGATTGATGATAACAATCCAAATTATTAACACCCTGTATTCATTACTGATCGAGCCATAGGTAGTCAATTAGCGGATTGAACATATCAACCGGGATATTTCAGGGCTACATGGAAACAAGCAAAGTTCCACACACATGCAGAGAGAGAGTCTGTCGGATCGAATGCAGAAAAGTGGTGGTGGCTTCCCCTATTGTGGGGGTGGCGAGCACCCCCTGCGGTGGGTAACTGGCCAGCCTGCCCTCATTAGCGTGTAAAACTCGGGTTAGGTACAGTTTTATCATGCGTTCCACACTAAATCCCCCGGACGACCGGAAAACAAAGATTTATTCTCATTGCATTTTTGAACTTTTTGCATGCAGAGTAATTGCCTTATAGTTCGAGTGGCTCGGTTTCATTTCGAGATTTAGGAAAAACAGGTGGAACTGATTGCTATTTCGGAGAAACCATTATGCAGCAAATGGAAAATGTGAATTTCATTGAAACGAAAATAAAAATAGTTGACAAAGGTAACTCTAAAAACCTGCGTCTTTCGGAGAATTACGTATACAGTGTCCAAGATAAGAATGAACATGGGGATACGAGGTCGATTGAATGTAAGAATGTAGCATCTTTTCCACCTTCCCGTTTCCTGGTGTCTTTGAAGTCCACTAGATACTCGTTACGACAACACGAGGATTGTTCAGAATTCTTGGAGTCCTTGTTGAATACTCTTCGTGAGCAAAACAATAGTAGAATCAACACTCCTGACCGTTCTGGATTGAATGATTCCGTACAGTCTATCTCGTCTTGTATTTGTAAATCTTTTGCTGGAAAAATATTCATTTGTTTACTTTGTAGTACATGTTCAAGAGGTAGCAAAAACGTATGTGAATTTCAAGAACTTCAACTAGCGTTTCCTAACAAGTGATGATCGATTGCATTGCCAAACATGCGTCAAACTAACTATTGTTATGTTTGTTTTATATGTTCAACAATTATCTTTCTCCCATAATACTAATTGATATTTAAAACACCATTATTTTTCCAACTATAGTTGATCTAAGAAATGTTTGGACGAAAGATAGAAATCGAAACTCTGATATATATTATCATCAGAGAAGCAGAAAGTTCATTACGAAACATCACGACACTGCTTCGTTCCTATATCTGTATGAAATTCACACACACACACACACACAATAATGATTCAAAACACACATATACCGGTAGACATTCTTTCATATTGCCCCAGTAATTTATTCAGCATCCTTCTGCTTGAATGGGTCAAGGGTTAATGTTGAAAAAGGAAAAAGAGTATACAAAAGCATGTCTATGGGAAGATCTGCGAATTCTGATCTAGGGATCAGGTCTCGCACAATATTCAAAGGGGTGGAACCTTCATTTCCTCGGTTACTTTGAAACCTACTTTTGCTAATTAGTCCATGTGTCAATCAAATGTATCTTTGTTGAGACATGTGTCATGTACTGAATTGAACTAGGAAGTGGTTATTTTACATCTGTTCGTAGCTCACTGTCAAGGACTATTCAGGGTTTTTCATTCATTGAAATAATAACTACATTGGTATATGGTTGGGTTGAAATTCAAAGTCTAATCAACAAGTTCAAAAACATGAAAAATAGAGATAAAGGTCCTAAAAATATGAGCAATAGCTCATTCGATTCGGAATCACCTCTAGAAAAATGTTTTTGAAGTATTTTGGTGCAGGTAAAAAATTGCAATTG